TTAATTATTATAATCCATACAGAGTGGTTCTGTTGTGAAATCAGTGCTGGATTACCCATTAGGCCAGACTAGGTCATGATTAGGGGCCCCCCTTAAAATGGAGTTTTTGAAAATAAATTTTAAAAAAATTAAGAGGAACAATGATTTTAAAGAAATCAATTTCAAATATATATTAATAAAATACGATAATTTTTTACATAATGTTAATCATATTTATTCATTATAGTTTATGTATTATAAGATTTATCAATGTTTTTTAAGCTCAAATTCGTCATTTTGATTTGCGCGAGAAAAAATTGAAGGTAGTGCGATAGCGTTGAGACTTGTTTAAACAAGAAGCAAAGAATTAAATGTTGTTGACATTATTGAGATGTTTTAGATGAAATAGAAGTTATTTAGTGCCTCATAATTTTTTTAGTGTTTTATAATTATTTAGTGTCCGTGATTCTATTTGATTAATCAAAAATTGCAAAATTATTTACTAAAAGGTGAGTGTTTATTTATTGTTTTATATACTCTAGAAAAAACTCATACAACTGGTCACTTTCAATCAAATTTTATATATTGAAATACTTATCATAATCGTTTTATGTCGTATAAAATGTAAAAAATTTAAACTGTTTGTTAACAAATTGAGAATCATTTTTAATTTTAATTATTTAATAAAGTACACTTTTTTTAAAATTTTCTGCATTATTTCTTTAGAATAACAAATGTCATTATAGCGTTAGCCGAACAAGGATTGCCGTTTCGAGGAACAAATGAACATTTTGGAGATAATAGGAACTACTTGGGTTTACTAGAACGTGTTGCTACGTTTGACCCGTTTTTACAAAATCATATTTCTACGCATGCGGATAAAGAAAGAGGAACAACGTGTTATTTATCAGAAACAGTTTGCGAGGTTAATCAACATTATGGGAGAAAAAGTTCGATCTCATATTATACAAGAGGCGTCAGCAGCTCGCTATTTTAGTGTGTCAGTTGATTAGACTCCAGATATCGCTCATGTAGATCAACTTAGTGTTGTTATTAGTTACGTTTCTACAAAAGATGGAAAACCTATTGAAAGGTTTTTGACTTTTTTAGAAATAAAAAGTCACGTAGGCGCAGACATAGTGAATCAGGTCTTACAATTTCTAAGCGAAATTTGTCGTTCAGATTTTAAGAAATGCAGAGGCCATCAGTCTTACGATAATGCTGCGAACATGTCCGACGCTTACGGAGGGATGCAAGCAATCATGTTAAATATCTATAGTTATGCGATTTATGTACCATGTGCAACGCACTCCTTGAATTTAGTTGGCCAAAATGCTGTGAAATGTTGTTTGTTCGCAGTGAATTTTTTTTTCTATTGTACACACATTGTATGCGGTTTTTTTTCAAGTTCAACTCATAGCTGGAACGTTTTAAAGAAACACATAGGAAATGAAAATATTTTGAAATCGTTATGAGATACGCGTTGGAAAGCGATTTCTAATTTAGTTGACTTTTATTTTGACGATTTGGAATATTTTTATTCCGAACTGAAACAGTTTCAGAGTTACATAAAATCAAAATTCCCATCAAAAACTCACTTCACTCATTCTGAACTTCACGAAACTTTATTTCAAGACAAACTTGGATCTGTTTTTATCCAATGTTGAAATTGCTCTTCACATTTTTCTAACTCTTATGATAACAAATTGTTCTACGGAGCACTCGTTTTCAAAAATGAAACGAATCAAGAGTGAGCAAAGAAGCGTCATGTTTCAAAAACGATTAGACATGCTAAGTTTGAAGTTTATCGAATCAGATGCTCTCCGTGAAATTAATTTTGATAACATTATCGATGAGTTTATTGATCGCAAGAGCAGAAAAAAAGAATTTTGAGTACCAATTTTATAATAGCGTTGATTTTGAAAAGTGTGAATAAATTTCAAATTTCTTCAAAATGTTGCGATTATTTTTTAGTTCTAATTTAGCAAAATAAAGTAAAATTTAATTTATATTATTATTTATTTTAACTACCGGTGTCTGAGTGGTAGCGCTCCCGTGCCACATGTCCTGGGTTCGATCCTCGGGCCGGCAAGGTTGACTCAGCCCTTCATCCCTTCAGTGGGTCGATAATGAGTACCAAGCATGCTTGGGAACGAAACACTGGAGGTTCCGCGTTCGGCTGACCACCTGACCGGAACATCTGCTCCTGCACCCCAGAGCCCAAGGTCAAGAAAACTGAGATTGGCACAGTAGGCCCTAGCCCTCTATGGGCTATCGCGCCACTGAGTTTAGTTTTTATTATTTATTATAAATGTGCTTTCTTAAATGAAAAGATATATAAATACTTTTATATTTGAATAAATGAAAAATATACGAGAAAAAAAAATTTAATCTAAGTGCCCCAAAAATTTGAATGGCCTAGAACGCTTAATCCGGCACTGTGTTAAGCACTATATTGTATAAATTCATTATGATTTTTGAAAGGAGATTCCTTTTGTTCCCATCTCTAATTATAAAAAAACTAAAAAATGATCCATGCAGAACTAGGCAAAACAAACAACAAAAAAAACTGCCCAAAGCAACCCCTTTTCATTTTACTGATGAAACTGTAAAAAGAGTAGGTTTAGTAATTTTTAACGTGACGATTGTTAAAAAATTAAACCTGATTTCTTTTTGTTATTTTCACTGAAAATAAATGTATATAAAGTAATAATCGATAATTAATACCTACTTTTTCATGGAATTTCTGAATTCATAGAAACAATGCACAGTGGCTCGAAACTCGTAAAAACTATCCAAAACTGATGCTTCAATTATACCTTCTAAAAATTATTATTACACAGGTTTTTGAATTTGTTGATTTAGAATATAATGTTAGAGATACAATAGTCAAGATAGATGAGCGTAAATGCCAAAAACAATATTTTTCTCATTAATCCGAGCTAATACTGTTCTTATTGCTATTCAGTACATTTAAGGTTGGCATATGTAACCACTATATAAATAGTTTCCAAAATTTTGTTATGACATTATGGAGAGTAACAATAAACAAATAATAAAGATCTGTTTTCTTATGAACTAGTTTTTAAAAAAACTATTATTTTAATAAATTATCATATTTATTGTTTATTGAGTTTATTTAAATAAATTATCACGCTTATATTATTAAGATTATAAAAATCATTACACAAAATATACGATATATTCTAATAATTTTAGTTATATTCTATAATTATAAGATCTTTTACTATGGATCTTGAAACACTTTTTTATAAGTACAGTATACTCTCGATATCTCAAAGTTGAAGGGATGTTAAAATGATTGCGAGTTTCCGAGATAAAAAGTTCAGAACTAAATACGTTGTAAGAAGTAGTAAAATATATTCTAAAATAGTACTCGGAAATGTAGAGTCAGGAAAAATAAGAATAGTAATTATGTATGCATTGGGAAAATTGACTATTAGTCTGAATAAAGCAATGATAATTTTATTTTTAAAAGTAAGACAAAAATAATGATGCATTTAATAGAAAAGTACTGACTTGCGATTAACTTACATTGTAATTTTTCCGAGAAAAATTCATTTTCTATTTCTAAAAATATTCGACATGAGAAAGTTTTGAGAAGATACTTCCACTTCTTTTACATTCTTGTTTGTTTGTGTGTGTTTTATTGTAACCACAAAAATTTAAAAATTATATGATTATAAAGGGTAGAAAACATGAATGCTATTTTTTTAAAGCTCTAAATCCATTTATTCAGAACATTTCGGAAGAAATATTTGACCTAAAGTTTTTTAAACTTTAAAAAAATGCGGAAACAATTAGAGAAGAGGAAAATTGTTTCAAATGTTCATTCAAATTGAATGTTTGAAGTTGGCTCTCTTCCACGAAAGGAAGTTGTGTTGCCATCTTTGAATGTACTGGGGGGGGGGTTGAAGTATTGTTTTATGAGTCATCATTTTACACGCTTCATCAAATGAGATTAAGGCAAAGTCGTTCGAACTGGTGGTTTATAAGAGTTATATGCATCTTTGGAAAAAGTGAAAAATTATACAATATACTCTCGATGTCTACTTTATAGTGCAAAACTATAGAAAACTGTTTTATTTTAAATTTTTAAAATTATTTTATTTCATGATTTACAAATGTATTGCCAACTGACTTTGTTTTTTTAACTAATAATGATCAAGATTGTTCCTCGACTACTCAGAATCAATTTTATTTGAATAAAAAAAAATAATTCTATTTTTTTTAAATTCAATTTAATTTTAGTACTGATTCAATGATGCGGTGTCTGAGAGAAGAAAATTTCACACAACTTAACAAAATGGCGTTGTGAAAGACTGCTTTTAATTTATGTGTTTTACTGCACCAAGTTCTTAGAATACCAGGGATGTTCAGAATTTGGCTTAAAGCTAGTGTTTTCGGTACTTGATAACACTATAATTTGAAAGTAAGATATGATAGACGTAAGAGACAGTTAACAATCTACTGGATGTTCATAGTATGCCAAGGTGTATTTGAAAGTGAAAATAATTCGCAAGTGTTTCGCGTTTTTTTACGATTTCTCAGTTTTTGGTGTTTAGATTTGACTACTCTCTTTGAATTGTATATGAGCGTTTATATTGGTGTTAATTTAAAATAAAGTGTTACTAAACACTATCCTTTAGAATGTTCAAATTCAAAAAGAGATACTATGTCACGATATACATCTCTTCGAATTGCGTAGATCGCAAAGGATTAATTATGAATTGGATATCTGCAAGTGAAGTCATGTGTGGATAAATCAGCAGCCAATCGGGTTTGTGATATATACATGACGTTGCTTGCAGGTATTCAATTAAACTTTATCCAAAAATTGATGCAGCGTGATAATAAACTAAACCTAAGAGCTTTTTACATTAATACGCCTTTCACTACCACGTGATTAGGCATAACTGTGTGATTTCAGCAGTATTCTTCATTTCTTGTTGTAAGTATGAAATAATTAAGAATTATCCAATTTAAATCCTTTTTTCTAGATCCCAGGAAGAACGAAGAAGAGTGAATTTTCGACGAAGAGGTTCTCCGGAATCAAAAGTAAATATTTCTTTAATCCACCTACATAATAAATGGGTCTGGATAATCTTATTAGTAGGGTGTTGGAACCCTGTCCAAGAAGTCGTGATTTTGATCCCCGTGGGGCGAAGACTCCCCTAGTAGTAAATGGTGACTGGTGCACGTTAAAACTGTCGAGTCATTAAGTCTTCCATGTCAAATAACAAATCATACCTTACTGGGTACTGAATTGGAGAAGGATCTTTCTCTGGTTCAGATCAAAATTACGATCTGTGGATGTATGATGAATAAGTCCGCCATGAAAGTGGACTGTGGCGTATGTGGGGCTGAAGTCGTATTCTTGTCCGTAGATGGCGCCACTGGAATACAAGAAACGCACCCTCTGCCTTAAATTCACTTCGTTGCCCCAAACAGGTTTGTTGGTATTGGCAAGTGTCACTAGAAACAACAATATAATAAATTTATTTTTAAGGACTGTTTATGTCCAAATTTTTGAACTCGAGAAATATAGGAATTTCTCTGTCCAAGAAATTGGATGATTTGTTGGATTCACACTATTCTTAAATGTCGCTGATTGGTCAGACGAAGAACTTGTTACATGCGCATTGTCCACGTTTCGATTTTTGTTTACAAATACTCATGAAATGCTCCTGAAGTTATTAGTATTATCTTTAGATTAATAACTGATGTAACAAAAATGAGTTGCAATACAATTGCAGTTGCTGCTATTATTGTAACGGTTGCAGCTACTTCAGTTATAAATAAAAAGAGTGAAAGGAGAACAAAATGATCTAAAGAATGGCTGTTGCCGCAGCAAAATGGGGGCGCATCATGCTTTCATGGCAGAATTAAATAAAATAATCCCTTCTTATTTACAAATTAGTTTTTGAATATCTCTCTCGCTTCACTTCATTCAATAAAAAAAATTACTTTTAATGATTTTATTTAATTTTAATAATAAAATATTCCCCGGAAAAATGAATTAAGATTATAAATTCATTCAAACCTATAGGCCAAATTACAGATTAAAGCTAAACGCAATCAAAATTATTGAAACAAACAGAAGATATTTAGGTTAAAATCTTAAGAAACGGAAAATGAAATGATCATATCCCCTCCCGCTGACATCATGAACTGATTGGTTAAGTGATATTAAGACATGCTCATTCAAGAGCTTGGATGATCTCTTACACGGTCCAAGCAAAACAAGTTTCAATCAATCTCGGTCCAAGCCTTTTATTTGCACGAATATATGTATAGATTTATTGTGATACCAGCACTAAAACCTTTATTTATTTCTCCCTTTTAGAATTTGGAAATATCAAGATCTTATCGGCAAGGTAAGATATAATTCCCTTTATTTACAGAAATGATCCGCCGCTTTATAATTTTTTTCAAAATACTTTAATATACCATTACTAGAAATAAACTTCCGGTTAAAGACTTAAAATGCTGCTGTTTCATTTTCTTCACTACTCGCAGAGGTAGCAGCATCCTATAAAAACAGTGTTAAGAGAACATCACTAGAGAACAGTGTTAAGAGAACATTTCGTCACTTTAAGTACTTTGCTCTAAAACTCTGTATTAAGTTATTTGTACTCTAGATTGTAGTCTAAAATTTAAATAATTTGAGACTAAATTAAAGTTTTCTTTGCTTGCTTGTAGAAAATCGAACATTAAAGGATTCTCCGATTGTAATCTGAAAATTAAACAGTTTCAAACTCTAAATTAAATTAAATGTTTTTTTTTTTTTTTGCTAGTTCGAAGAAAATGAACTCGTTTTAAAAGGTCTCTCCGACCACAACTTAAAAATTTTAACAATCGTGGGAATTCTGTATTTAAATTTTCAGATATTTGGATATAACTGGACAAGCTGGAAATCCTTTTAAATTTTGAAAATTTGCTTACAAATTTTGCATACTTTAAGGGAGTGATTTTAGCCGAAAATATTGAAATTTTTAAATTGATTTTATAAAACTAACTTTATATAGTTTCTTGAGAGTTTTTTGTTCTTCTATAAGTTAGTCACACGCTTTTATTATTTTTGAAGTTTTTAATAAGATAATGTGTGTTTGAAGAGGATATATTCTAACAGACTTTAAATATTCATTTCAAATGTCTTTTTATCTTCATAAGGCGTTACTCTGAGGGCAGAAGATCTTTTGGAAGAACAAAGACTGGCACCCATCAACTTTCTCAATCCAAGACAAGGTAATCTCTCTCCCCTCCCCCCTCTCAACATTTACAGCTTTACGCCTCAAACATTGTGACTTAATTCAAGCAATCTGTCAGAAAAGAAAAATGCAATCTTTACTAAAATGACTTTAAGTATGCGAATTGTAGGGGCGAGTGGGACATATACTCATTTTTAGACCATTGAGTCTACATTTTCAGACCTTTTTGGAGCCTCGCCTCATTTATATCTAAAAAGAAGAAGTCTTTTTATCTTTTATATCTTTTTTTAAGAAAGTTGTATTAAATAGATTTTTTTTACAAAAAAATTTTTTTTGTACTAAAAATTTAAAAAAAAGTTTTCTATATCAGTCATATATATTGGTTGAAGAAAAAAGTGATAGCACTTCGATGCTAACTCTATCTAAGCAATTTTTTTTGCATCAAATATTCTAGAAGATATAACAGGGCTTGTAGAAATGGGGTCTTTTTTTGCAGACGCAAAATTTGTATTGATCAAAATGAGCTAGATAGTTAAAAGTCTTTTTTTTTTCAATACCCCTACAATTAAAAAGACACTTTATTAAAAATTTATCAATCCTATAGAAATGATTTCAAAATTGCTGGCGTGAAAAAGCTAGAAAGAAGTTATAAACTTCCTCAATCCGTATTTTGCGTGGATAAAAAGGTCACCATTTTTAAAAGCTTCATGCATGGTCTTTAAAATTGTGTCAACAGTTTTGCCATTAGTAAAAATCCTCCAAAATGTTTGCTGCTAAAATAAGGACTGTTTATATAGAGCTGTTAGTACAGAATTATTTCCGTATTTTTGTCCAACCCTTGTAGATAGTTTATGCAACAAAATAGGTTACAGACAGTCTGAATATTCATAAAAACACTGTAACCCGGGGAAGTAATAAAAGCAGCTCTTATCAACCTTATTTTCGGGTGGAGTGCTGATTACCAAGACTCATGAACAGTTAGAATTAGAAACGGACATTTTATGACCTAAGAATCTTCCCTAATTTTATTTTTCACCTAGAATAGAAAAAATGCTCTTAAAAATAGAAAAATATGCTTATAAAATAAAAATATTCTCCCGTTCTTCTAAAAATTTATTTCGTTTTCATATAATAATCGTCAATGTAGTTTTTGCGAGTGGGAATTCGCCAGTCATGACCTGTCACGAGTCTTTCGAAAAACGGACACAATTTTCTAGGAATTTGATTCGGCTTATCAGAAGGAAAGTAGGTAAACTACAATGCATTTAATAGTATCCTTTAACCCAGTTAAAATGTGTGATGGGTGTAAAAATGAACAATATAATGCTTCTAAAGATCTCAAAAAATGCTCTAAACTTAAAAAATTTACTCAAAATGTTCTGAAATAAAAATAATGTTTCAAAATTTGTTATAAAAATGTTAAAAAAATGTCTTACTAAAGTAAAAAATGCTAAAAAAGCAACAACATCTTTTTCAATTGTCATCAAAACTCATACCTTATTTATAACATATATACAAGATCGTTTCTAATCTGGGAAAAGTAAGTGCAGATAATAAATTAATAAATACTTTTACTTCATTTTTCAAAAAAAAATTAGCTGTAAAATGTTTTAATATTAGTTTTTATCCTGTTTTCCGAGGTACAGGAAGTCCCACAAAAATCAAAAGCTTAAAATAAGAACATTTTCAAATGATTATTTAAGAGAGGCTTTTAAGGCCGAAATCCCATACATTTGAAAGTACCACGTTTTACTACAATTAAACAAAAAAAATAATGAAAAATGTTGTTTATTCTAGTAATGCACTCCTGATAACTTCAAAGCAGTGCTAATTTTACTTGTATTGTTCAATTCACATTGTACCAATACTTACAGCACAATATAACTCCTTACTACAACTATGCTTAACCTTTTGCTTAGGACTGGTACAACATGTGAACTACGTGTGATCGCACAGCATGAAACACCGTAAGCAAGGATTAATTTATGTAAATTGTAGTGGCAGTTAAAATCAGTTTAAATTTAATGTAATTAATCAAAAATCAACTATGAATGTTAACATTTCGTTACCACATTAAATATAAAAATGAATTCTTCCGCAAAATGCAAAAGAGTTGACAGAATGAAATTGAGAAAAAAATTATGGAATTGATTTTAATAAGTTAGGCTCCAAGGCACCTCTCAAGCAGATGATATATTGGAAAAATCGTAAAAAAATATTGCTTTTCAAAAAATCTGTATTTTTTCTTTTTACACATAAAATTTAAACTAAACGAACGATTCATGAAACGAACGCTGTAGGATTTCATCTCAAAGAGTTTTCTAACATTTTTTAGTTTCTTGAAAATTGAAACTATTTTTATTTTTCTAAAACTTAAAATTTCTTTTTGTATTTCATTGAACTTTTAATTATCCAATGTCTGAAAATTTTGCTTTTCATGATAATTTATTTCAATAATATCAAAATAATTGCAATTTAAATGCTTTTCATTTTCTTTTCACTGTTACAACATTTTTAGATAAATAAATTTCAAACAAATATCGTTTCTATTAATTAATTTCAAGTACTTTAAGAGTACACCATGCATTGTAATATTAGACATCATTGCCATCTAACACTGCAAAAACATTTGGATATAAACCTTTTAGCACAAACACATCCTATGCAGAAAAATTTTAGAGTTCTTTCATATTGTTGCAGATCAATACTGAAGCCTCTGCCACTAAGAATATCATCATAAAAAGAGTTTTTGTGAGGATAATTTTAAAAATACTACTTACAAACAAAGGATGTGTCTCACTTATTGAGAACTGCTATCATCAAAAGAGAAAAATGTTTTTAGGGGTCGAACCAGAATAAAAGAAATTTCAGAACAAATAACAACATCTAAAATAGTCAACTGTTGTGGTAGGCAAGTATACCAAGATCATTAGTTTAATTTAAGCAGAGCTGCAAACCCCGAAGCTCACCGGTGGATAAAGGGTCATCCTTTTCCTGGAAAATATAAAACCTTAAATAAAATTATTAAAAATTAAAACCAAATCAAAATATGTAATGGTTGTAGGAATGAGCTAGTGATTCTAAAAATTTCTAATAAAATTTAAAAAAAAAAATTTTAATATACCAAAACCTTAAAAAAATGAACTGAAAATCTACAAAGAACGTCGTGATAAAGCAAAATGAAAGGCATCGATGTAAAAAGGAAAAAAAAACGAATGCCATTAATATAAGGGCCTTACTTACAGCTATTATTTTCCAGAGACTTAATAATTGTTTCCCCAAAATACCTTAGATTCTAACTCTTCAGAAAAGTGTAAATATATTTTATTCACCAGAAATAAGAGAGGAAATAATGTCTACTCAACGCGTTGCTTGTGTGCTATTCTTTCACAGAAGAGCTTTTCTGAAAAACAACATTACCGTATCTCACAAAAAAATTTGGCATTATATGCGAGTGTCTTCAGAGAGTCATAAAAAAAGCATTCTTTCCCTTGAGACGTGATTATAGCATATAATGGAGTACAAACATGAAACCTAAAATGGAAGAAACTTTATCTGCTATTGTAATATTTATTACAAGCGAAACACAATGACGTACTCTGAATGTTAAGAAAATCTAAAATGATGTTAAAAACCTGAAATGTTGAACGCTTTCTTTTCTTTTCTTTCTTTCTTTTCTTTTCCTTACGGATTAAAAATTAAGGAGATAATTTACTTTTCGTGTGTTTTAAATGTAAGCTTTTTATATATATGTTTTGTTCTTTTTACTTTGAATATTTTCATGTATTTGAATATTTTTTGCTCCAACAAGAACTGAACAAATTATAGAACAATTCATGAATTTTTTTTATTTTATTTTTTTACATAACAAATATACACGGGGAGTTCTGAATTTGACTGATGTCTCTCTTACAAAAATTTTATCAAGGAAATCGCTGAAGTTAACCAAAGAACTGTTCTTTTTCACGACAGAGTAAAAAATTAATGAGAAGTTTTCTGTTTAGGATTCAATAATGTTTCCATAAATAAACTAGTAAATATGCCAAGTCATGGAAAAACAACTGAATAAAATTTTACCTAATAAAAATCAGAAATTATTCAAGAAAAATACAAACCAAAACACAAACAGGAACATATAAAAGGATAAGACGACAGGATGGATATTATGTACTTACTAATAACTTGCAAAAATGATTTAGAAATGTTTTCTTAAGTAAGTTGCCAGTTTTCAAAACATAAAATTAAAGCATGAATAGAGGGAAGTGGGATATATATTTTAAGACGCGTTCATATGTATATATAATGAATGATTTTTCCATGAAAGAGAAAATCAAATCAAAGGAGTAGAAATTAAAGAGTTTTTTTTATTTAGGAAAAGAAATTTAACAAATAGATAACCATATCATGTATGAAATAGTAGGAAACACAAAATCGGTTGAAGTTCTTTTGGAAAAAATAGCATCATACTTAAATGTATCGAAATATGCCACTGTGTGTCTGAATTGCAAAGTTTTTAATCTACCGCTCGTACTTATGGAGAAGAGACTTGAATTTTTCACTGGCAGAGACCTTCACCTAACAACGTTTGCTGTTTTTTTTATGTTTTATTTTATAGCTGGCGTTGAACAATCAATTCATTTTGTGTTTAATGACTATCAGTTAAAACTTCGTAGCTTTGTAAATTTAAACCCAACCCAAGAGACATGGGAACACTTAGATCGAGCATTGTGACAAGTTAGTCTATGTCGAGATTTTTTTTTATGGAACTTAACCCACATTTACGTTACATCGAGAGGAAAACCTCACGTGGTTATCTCGACGGCAAGGAATTCAAATTCATTCCTCTACCACTGATATTTTACCCTGAAGATATTTTACCCTGTACGTACCTCGAGCAGAATTCAAATCGACCAGTCATTTATGGAATTTGAGCCTGGATCACCTCATTAGCTCCTTTGAGAGTCATGAGAGAACGACTCAGAGAGAGACTTTAAGAACTCGAGGACAGCCCTCCAATTTCTAAATTTCATGGCTTTA